TGTCCCCAAGACAGGGCCCCTCTCTCTTTGAACCCCCTCCAGCCTCAGCCCTCCTGAGCAGACACAGGCCAGGCTGGTAACAGTGCTCCCCTTCCCCCACCATGTCCCATTCATACTGAGTGTGCCAGCCTATGACCCACCTAGGCCACCATCCCCCTCTATCACCCCCCCGGGTACCCCCCCATCCCTCCTTCCTTCATCTTCCCCCCTCACCCCAGCCTCACCTTTCCTCTCCTCTCCTGCGCTCTCTGGGATTTTTCACATACACTCACACACGATACGAGCAACCGAGCCCGCTAGCCGTCTCAGCCCCGCCTCTTCTCCTTCGCTATTGAGAGAAAATCGCCGACACACCCCCTATTCCTCGCCCCATTGGCCCGCTCCACCCGTCAATCAGCCGGCTTCTCGCGGCGCAGCCTAGCTTTGGACGAAGGCGTCTCGCGATTGGCTCCGGCTCGGCCACCTTGGCCTCCTATTGGTCGGAGCCCGGCACTGAGGTCGTAGTGCAAGGTCATGTGAGCCGCCCCACAGTTCCACGCGCTTGCCAGGCCGGGGCCGCCATCTTTTTGGGTTGCTATAGTTACCGTGACGTGCTTTGGCGATTAATGATGACGTTTTCAGGGTTAATTAGTGGCATTGAAGGTTGCAGGGTTGTGCCCCTAACCCTACCCTCCAGCCCTGAGAGTACTGGGGTATCCCCACACCTATCTGAGTAGTATAAGGGGGGCTAACCACTTGGCTTTCAGGCCTTTTTCTGACACTTTTGTTTACATATTAAAAAAATCAATATTTTTGGTAGAAAATGTCTTAGAACCCTCAAACATTACAGATTTTATTCAAATCAGAGGCCCTAGAGCAGGGGTCTGCAACCTTTAAGACATAAAGAGCCACTTGGACCCGTTTCCGAGAGGGAAAAAAAGACTGGGAGTCGCAAAACCATTGCAACATTTAAAACAAATCTGACACTGCATATATTGCAAAAAGCGCTCTGGTCATGAAGGGGGTTTAACCACTTCCAGACCGGACACTTTTACCCCCTTCCTGACCAGGGCAATTTTCAGCTTTAACGCTATCACACTTTGAATGACAATTGCGCGGTCATGCAACACTGTACCCAAATGAATTTTTTACCATTTTTTTGAGATAGATAAAGCTTTATTTTGGTGGTATTTATTCACCACTGGGATTTGTATTTTTTTTGCTATGTAAATGAAATGTCCAAAAATTTTGAAAAAAAGTGTTTTTTTAATAAAATTTTGCAAATAAATAATATTTCATCATAAATCTTAGCCAAAATTTATTCCGTTATCTTTTTAGTAAAAAAAAAAAAATCCAAATTAGTTTATAAGCAAAAATTATAATTTTTAAACATTTTTTTTTTTTTTACATTTTTATTTTATTTTTTATATTATTATTTTATTATTTTTTTTTTTTTTTTACATACTGTCACCCTAGCACTACAGTGTCACCACGGTGACACTGTACTACTTGTGAGGGGTGATGAAGATTTTTTTTTACACTGATTGCTTTTACACCCATATAGGATGTAAAAGCAATCATTTCTCTTTCTCTCTGTGTGCATTCTTGCACTCATTGAGAAGAACTGAGTGAGCTGTGATTGGTCACAGCTTGTCACATGGTACAAGGCTTTTGTGAATGGCCTTGTACCATGTGACCTCTGTGATCATTCACAGATTTCACACGTAGTAAGCAATGATGTCCGAAGTGTCATCTTGCTTACTACTTTGCATGTGATCACTGATTGGCCAATCAGTGATCACATGATCAGGGACCTCGTACAGAGGTCCCGTCCAACGATCGGTGTTTCACTGTGTCCGGAGGACACAGCGGGCACCGGATCGTGGTGCTGCGCGCTCCCAGGGAGCGCGCACAAGCAGGGTGCGGGGAGGCCGTTTATAGACGGCCACCCGACCCTGCAGTGCCACCGTCCGGCCGTTTATATACAACGGCCGGTCGGGAAGTGGTTAAGGGCCCAGTAAGCAAAGGGTTAATCATGGCCACAGTGTATCGTCATAATCACAATCATAGCCTTAGGTCAGTGGTGGGCAACCTTTTTTTTCAACTGAGCCAAATCTCGCCAAAACCACGATTGAAATTTATTTTGAGAGCCACATTTTTAAAACTGAAAATACATCCCCCATATAGTAATTCATCCCCCATATAGTAATTCATCCCCTATATAGTAATTCATCCCCCATAGTAATTCATCCCCCATAGTAATTCATCCCCCATAGTAATTCATCCCCCATATAGTAATTAATCCCCATATAGTTATTAATCCCCCGTAGTAATTCATCCCCCATAGTAATTCATCCCCCCTATAGTAATTCATCCCCCATATTAAGTCCCCAAGTCCCCCCTGTGTCAATTCACTTACCTTTGCTCCGCTCGTTCCTGCGCCGTTCCGGTGTAGCATGAAAATCTGTCTCCTATGAGGATCTGTCCCCCTCGACGTATCTGCGCATGTGCCAGTTTCAGGCATTAGCAGCCGATCGGCGATCTCCGGCACATGCGCAGATACGTCGAGGGGGACAGATCCTCATAGGAGACAGATTTTCAAGCTACACCGGTCTTCAGGGCGGACTGTGAGAGGAGCCTAGCGGGGAGCCTAGCGGGAGCCTAGCTCCGCGGGCCGGATTAAAAGGTCCGCCGGGCCGTAGTTTGCCCATTGCTGCCCTATTGCCTGTCACCTGGTGGGCAGTGTAGTCCGGAGCCGCAGCCAAGGTGAAAAAGAGCCGCGGGTTGCCGACACCCGCCCTAGAGAATAAAATGGATTTTGCAATTGTTTTTTATGTCACATGGTATTTCCACAGCGGCTTTTCAAATGCAACCTTTTGGGAAAAAATACACTTTTTTTAAATTAAACTGCTTGGTAACTTCGCTATATTCGAATGGCGACTACACCGCGCTTATCCAGTTCTGGGAGGGTGTCATATGATGTCCTCCCAGGACGCACCCTCCCGCGCACATCCCGTGAACTCCGTGAGCGCTGTGTCCAACAGACACAGCTGATCACGTGATGAGGTAAAAGGCCAATCACAGAGGCCTTTTACCACGTGATCAGCCGTGTCCAATGACACAGCAGATCACGGAGTAAATACAGTTGTCGTTTATCAATAAAAACGAGGTAAGTGAGCGCTAAGAACTCAAATAAATAAAGGTGAGTCAAGCAGATGAACACCAAAAGGTACCATATAAAAACCTTCAAAATGATCAAATAAAACGGTGCAGCGCTAAAATAATCCGCTAAATAACATAAAATGTTATGCACAAATACGATATAAATTGAATATATAAATAGCCAATGTGCATAGCAAATAATCACATGAATAAAGTGACAACGTGCAAAAAAAATAAGTCACTGGGTGGTGACTAGTATGGTGAAATGGTGTAACACATTAAACTAAATATAGTCCATAAATAGGTGCAAATAAGATCACAGATGATCTTCAGAAATCCAGTGGCTGGATCCATGGATGAGGTGATAGGTATGTAAAGATTGCGCACTCACCAGATACGCAATCCAAATGCGCATTAAGAGTAGAAAAAGGACATCCAAAGATCCTAATAAAGGTCTGGTCAGGTACCCCTCCTTGCCTGGTAATGCTGCCACACTTGTAAATAGCTGCTCTGTGGATGTAGATGGCTCCCAAAGGAGCTCAAAAAACAGAGGAGGCCAAATAGTGTAGTATCCTTAGGATCAGGAGTATTTATTCCATACGAAACACAAAGTAGGAACAAAAGGAAGAAGTACTGACCATATGGGCATAAAAGATGGCCGCCGGGGGCCTCGTGGCGCCGGTCGGCGTGACGTCACACCGTTTGTAGCCTCTCTCTGACGCGTTTCGTGCGATGGCACGTAGTCATAGGGGTTAGCTTACCTTTTAGTTGTCGTTTATCGGCAGCGCTTTCCCCACCCTGTCACAGAGCAGATTGGCACTGATCATCAGTGCCCAGCAGTGCCACCCACCAATGTCTAGCAGTACCACACATCAGTGCTGCCTAGCAGTTGCGTCCATCAGTGCTCAACAGTGTCACCCAGCAGTGCTGCCAGTCAATGCCAGCAGTCAGTGCCGTCAGTAAGCGTCGCCCATCAGTGCGCATCATTGCTGCATATTAGTGCAGCATCATCAGTGCCGCCTCATTAGTGCAGCCTATCAGTACCCATCAGTGCTGCCTATCCGTGCCACTTCATCAGTGCTCAACAGTGTCGCCCAGCAGTGCTGCCAGTCAATGCCATCAGTCAGTGCCGTCAGTAAGCGCTGCCCGTCAATGTCGCCCATCAGTGCCCATCATTGCTGCATATTAGTGCAGCATCATCAGTGCTGCCTCATCGGTGCCACCTCATTAGTGCAGCCTGTCAGTACCCATCAGTGCTGCCTATCCATGCCACTTCATCAGTGCTCAACAGTGTCGCCCAGCAGTGCTGCCAGTCAATGCCATCAGTCAGTGCCGTCAGTAAGCGCTGCCCGTCAATGTCGCCTATCAGTGCCCATCATTGCTGCATATTAGTGCAGCATCATCAGTGCTGCCTCATCGGTGCCACCTCATTAGTGCAGCCTGTCAGTACCCATCAGTTCTGCCTATCCGTGCCACCTCATCAGTGCCCATCAGTGCTGCCTATCAGTGCAGCCTCATCAGTGCCCATCAGTGCTGCCTATCCATGCAACCTCATTAGTGCCCATCAGTGCAGCCTCATCAGTGCCCATCAGTGCTGCCTATCCATGTCACATCAGTGCCCATCAGTGCAGCCTCCTCAACGCACATCAGTGAAGTTGAAAAACTACCTGTTTGCAAAATTTTATAATAGAAACAAAGAAAACCTTTTTTTTTTCCAATTATTTGCCCTTTTTTTGTTTATAGTGCAAAAAATAAAACACCCAGCAGCGATTAAATACCACCAAAGAAAGTTCTATTTGCGTGAAAAAAATAATAAAAATTTCATATGGGTGCAGTGTTGCATGACCGCGCAATGATTATGCACTGATCTGCAGCAATGATGGGTACTGATAGGCGGCACTGATTGGCAACACTGACAGCACTGATGGGCGGCACTGATGGACGCAACTGCTGGGCAGCACTGATGGGTGGCACTGATGGGCCGTGATGATCAGGGCACTGATCAGTGCCTTGATTATCAGTGCAGATCTGCTCTGTGACATTTGCCAGTTATCGGCAGTACTTTCCTGACACTGTGACAGCATCAGGAAAGTACTGCCGATAACCGGCAACTGTATTTACTTTGTGATCATTGGACACAGCTGATCACGTGGTAAAAGGCTGCTGTGATTGGCCTTTTACCTAGTCATGTGATCAGCTGTGTCCATAGGGCACAGCAATCGCTGAGAGCGCCGGGTGCGCGCCACTGGGGGCACGTTCTGGGAGGACATTCATATTACGCCCTCCCAAAATTGGACAACCATGATGTAGCCATCTTTCGGCTACAGCACAGTTGTAAAGTGGTTAATTAGGTGTTCCGTTGTTTAAACCCCTATTAACCCTTAGTTTACTCTAATTAGCCCTAATTAACTCCTTAGTCTTCTCCATTCAAATATTATTTTCCTGCTGATATTTTTTTTCCCTATTTTATTAAGTAATAATATTTAAACTTTTTGTTTGTTTTGTTTGTTTTTACACTGTTAACATATATTTATAAATTTCACATTTAAAAAAAAAAGTGCAAAATTGAAAGAACCCACTTTACTTCATTTGTAAATTACTTGGCTTTGTACCAGAATCATAATTTTAGTGTCATTTTAAAAAGGACACATTTGCAGAATAAAATCTGCTCTTTTTATGTGCAGTAACACAGTTTATTTTTAAACTAACACTGCTCAAAAAAAGGAAAAAGTGAGTTTTGTTACATTTAATTGTTTAAGGATTGCGGGGGGGGGGGGGGGGGGGATCATTGTTGCAAAGCAATATTTACAAAAAGAAAGCCTTGTTTGTCCTTAAAAAACAATATATGTATTAAGTTTTTATCTTTAAAGCAGAACTCCAGTTATTTTTTTTCTCTTTACCATGCAGTGGAGCTGTGCCCTCCACTGCCTGGATTAGCTGCTCATTTGTCATCCTAGATTGTAAACTCCAAGGAGCAGGGCCCTCCTATCCCTCTTGTATTGTTGCTGTATTGTCTCCCTTTATATTGTAAAGTGCTGAGCAAACTGTTGGCGCTAAATAAATCCTGTATAATAATAATAATGTTTTTCTAGGAGTGAGGACTAAGTTCATACTCACCGGACCTACGGATCGTATGGCAAACCAAACTCCCCCGTGGTCCAGCGGTGGACTATTCCTGTCTGGGAAGTGCGCATTGAGCGTGCTGATGCCAGGAACAGTTCATTTGCAAGATGGCTGGACCTTGGGGGGGGGGGGGGGGGGCAGGAGCTGAAAGGACCGGTCTTGTACAGGAAAGATCAGCAGGTAAGGTGAGTATATCTTCGGAGTCCTCTCCCCCAAGAATAAAATCAGAATTTAACCAGTGCAGTGCTGGCACAACCCCACTGCAAGGGCAAAAACTAAAAAACCCAGATTTCTTCTTTAACCCCTAGCCTACAGGGCACTTATACCCCCTTCCTGTCCAGGCCAATTTCCAGCTTTCAGCGCTGTCACACTTTGAATGACAATTGCGCGGTCATGCAACACTGTACCCATATGAAATGTTTATCCTTTTTTTGAGACAGATTGAGCTTTATTTTGGTGGTATTTAATCACCACTGGGATTATTTTTTTTTTTTTTAAACAAACCAAAAAGCACTGAAAAAGTTTTTTCTTGGTTTTTGTTATACAATTTTGTAAATAAGTGATTTTTCTCCTTCACTCATGTGCGCTAATGAGGCTGTAGTGATGGGCACTGATAGGCTGCACTGATGGACACTGATAGGTGGCACTGATGGGCACTGATGAGGAGGCACTGGTAGGTTGCACTGATGGGCATTGACAGGCATCACTGAGGGAAGAATGTCCCTTTCCATGGTGGTGAGTGGAAGAATGTCTCTTTCCATGGTGGTCAGTGGGAAGAATGTCCCTTTCATTGGTGGCCAGTAGGAAGAATGTCCCTTTCTATGGTGGTCAGTGGGAAGAATGTCCCTTTCCATGGTGGTCAGTGGGAAGAATGTCCCTTTCATTGGTGGCCAGTAGGAAGAATGTCCCTTTCTATGGTGGTCAGTGGGAAGAATGTCCCTTTCCATGGTGGTCAGTGGGAAGAATGTCCCTTTCCATGGTGGTCAGTGGGAAGAATGTCCCTTACATTGGTGGCTAGTAAGAAGAATGTCCCTTACATTGCTGGTCTGATGGAAGAATTCTCCTTACATTGGTGGTCAGTGGGAAGAATGCTCTTTATATTGGTGATTAGTGGGAAGAATGTCCCTTACATCGGTGGTCATTTGGAAGAATGTCCTTTACATTGGTGGTCAATGGGAAGAATGTCCCTTACATTGGTGGTCAATGGGAAGAATGTTCCTTACATTGGTGGTCTGAGGGAAGAATGCTCCTTATATTGGTGGTCAGTGGGAAGAATGTCCTTTACATTGATGGTCTGAGGGAAGAACGCTCCTTACATTGGTGGTCTGAGGGAAGAATGTCCCTTTCCATGGTGGTGAGTGGAAGAATGTCCCTTTCCATGGTGGTCAGAGGGAAGAATGTCCCTTACATTGGTGGCCAGTAGGAAGAATGTCCCTTTCTATGGTGGTCAGTGGGAAGAATGTCCCTTTCCATGGTGGTCAGTGGGAAGAATGTCTCTTTCCATGGTGGTCAGTGGGAAGAATGTCCCTTACATTGGTGGCTAGTAAGAAGAATGCCCCTTACATTGCTGGTCTGATGGAAGAATTCTCCTTACATTGGTGGTCAGTGGGAAGAATGTCTCTTACATAGGTGGTTAGTGGGAAGAATGTCCCTTAAATTGGTGGTTAGTGGGAAGAATGTCCCTTACATTGGTGGTCATTTGGAAGAATGTCCTTTACATTGGTGATGAATGGGAAGAATGCCCCTTACATTGGTGGTCAGAGGGAAGAATGCTCCTTATATTGGTGGTCAGTGGGAAGAATGTCCTTTACATTGATGGTCTGAGGGAAGAACGCTCCTTACATTGGTGGTCTGAGTGAAGAATGTCCCTTTCCATGGTGGTCATTGGGAAGAATGTCCCTTTCCATGGTGGTCAGTGGGAAGAATGTCCCTTACATTGGTGGCCAGTAGGAAGAATGTCCCTTACATTGGTGGTCTGAGGGAAGAACTCTCCTTACATTGGTGGTCAGTGGGGAAGAATGCTCTTTATATTGGTGGTTAGTGGGAAGAATGCCCCATACATTGGAAGTCAGTGGAGAGAAATGTCCCTTACATTGGTTATTGGTTTCTGTATTTAAAGTAAATCTAAAGCAATTTTTTTTTTTATCATTTTAGGTGTACTAGGTGATGGTTAAAACTCCTGACCAAGCTGTATTGTTTTAACCGCAGCAAGAAAAAAATAGGTCAAATCCTTGCTGTGCTGTTGACAGGGATGTCTTGAGTAAAAAAACTAGCTGAACAAAATTGCAAATGCGTCACACTTATATATAGAAACCTAGAAGAGTGAGAGCAGAAAAAGACCAGGAGGTCCATCAAGTCAGCCTCAGTTATTATTTCATTTTTAATTTTTATCTGAACATTTCATTGCTGAATGTAGTCTCTTAGACTTCACCTCATCGTAAAAAAAATGAATAAAATAAAAAAGGTTGTAACTGCTAAATGGCCTTATATACTTACCAGGGGCGGACTGACCATTTGGAAACTCGGGCACTGCCCAAGGGCCCGGGGACAGTAAGGGGCCCCATGAGATGGCCCTGGTACCTTTTTTCATAGGCTTTTTTGAGTTTGGGCAAGGACACAAGGGCCCCATGATCCTCTGTTGCCCGGGGGCCCCATGAATTGTCAGTCCGCCCCTGATACTTACTGTATTTCCTGGAGAAAAAACAGAATTTTTGATTTGAGATTTGATTGCAAAATTTTAGATGTTAGCAAAAAATAACCTTTCATCCGTAGAATAGAATAGGGGATTTTTTTTGAAGGTAGTTTTGCTCTTCCAAACGTCTCATCCTGGCAATGTAGGCAATCATTCCAAGTTCACATTCTATTTTTTGCAGCTGATATTTGCTAATTCCACTTGTTTCGCAAGTGTCTGTGACCAGTCTGTGAATGTCTGCCCATGTTCACACATTTGTTGCTTGTGTTCACAACCAGATTGTGACAGAATTATCACAGCAATCTGTTACATAATTCAAGTGGAACCAAACTTTATCTGAACACCACAAACAGAAAACCCTATTTAATTAATTATTAATATACAAAGTAAACGCACCCATCCACCCATGTCTCGGCCAGTGTTGTCAACCTCCCTTAGTGAAATTTTGGCAGGATGCCAAAAATGTACTGACAGCACCAATTGTTTTACTGACATAACTCATGGAATTTACTAACAAAGCCAAATATTTTACTGAAACTTCAAAACTTTTTTAAAATGATTGTTTTCAGTGCAAAAACAGTCTAAATATCAATATTTAAGCTACAAAGATGTAGCTAGTGCTATTGGCAATGTGTTTAAGGTATAACAAGGGCAAAAAAACATATTTCTCCATTTAATGTACTTGAAGGCAAGGTTAATCAACCCAGCACAGAGATCCCCTTACGTCAGAGTCTGCAGGGTTCCCATTTACAGTGCAAGGGAGAACTCTGCAGACCCTGATGTAAAAGAGAACTGTGAGGAGCCTGATGTAAAACCTGATGTAGGACTCTGATGTAGAAGGGAATGCTGCAGACTCTGTGGTAAAGGGAAACTCTGATGTAAGGGAGTCTCTGGTCACCAGAGCCCCCCACCCCCCCTTACATAGGAGTTCACAGAGCTCCCTTAACATCAGACTACAGAGTTTTCCCCTTGCATTGGGAGCTTACCGATCACAGCTAGCTACACAGTCCACACAGTTCTCCCTTACATCATAGTTCTCAGAGTTCCCCTTTACATCAGAGTCTGCAGGGTTCCCCCTTACAGTGTCAAGGGAACACTGCAAGACCTTGAAGTAAAGGGAAACACTGTGGACCCATAAATGGGAACGCTGCAGACAATCTATGATGTAAAAGGGAACTCTGATGTAAGGGGGTCTCTGGTCACCTCCCCTCTTATTTACAAAAGAGTCCACAGGGTTCTCCTTTACATCAGAGTCTTCAGGATTCCCCCTTACAGTACGGGGGGGGGGGGGGGGGGGGGCTCTGCGGAACCCGATCTAAAGGGGAACTCTGCTCTGATGTAAAAGAGAATGCTATGGACCATGATGTAAGGGAGAGTGCTGTAGATGCTGGTGTACAGGGGAACTCTGATGTAAGGTGGTCTTTGGTCACATTAGAGTCTGCAGTGTTCCCCTTTACATCATGGTCTGCAGAACTCCCCCTTTGCACTGTAAGGGGGAATGCTGCAGACTCTGATATAAAAGGAAACTCTGAGGACACTGAATTAGGGGGATAGGTGGGGAACTCTGGTGACCACAGACCACCTTCTGCAGAGTGACTACACTAAGGTAGGGGGAGGTTACCGATATAAGGGGGAACCTTTATATCAGCGTTCCCCTTATCTTGGTGTATTCACCCCTAACATCAGCGACCCCCCCCCCCCCCAACAAGATTGTGTGGCCTGACTGGTAGCTGGAGTAATGTAATGTCACACTGACCTCCCAAATGCTTGCTAGCGCTGCCTTGGGTCAGCTGAAGCTCAGTTAGAGTCATGCCACGGTCCTCCAGCTCCAGGCAGTGAGGCTTCTCCTCTGCAGTCTGCACCACCAGTCTCTTCTCACACTCCTGGGTTCTCCTGGTTTCCGCGGCCAGCCCTGCTGTAATTTGTAAAAGGCACCAAGTAGTGCCCTGACATCACCAATGCCTGCCCCCTGCCCATGCCCTCTGGCTTAGAACTGCATATGCGTCACAGTACCAGCCCCCCCCCCCCCCCCCCCCCCCGGCCAAGCCCATTTACGGACAGCTTGTACATTGCCCTGTATTTACAAACTGTAAATTTATGGACAGCTGGCAACCCTGGTCGCCACTTTGAAATACAACCCCGAGTATTAGGCAGCACAGTGGCTAAATAGTTAGCACTTCTGCCTCGCAGTACTCGGGTCGTCGGTTTGTATCCCAGCCACGGCACCACCTGCCTGGTGTTTGCATGTTCTCCCTGTGCCTGCGTGGATTTCCTCCGGGTACTCCGGTTTCTTCCCACACTCCAAAGACATGCTGGTAGGTTAACCACTTGAGCTCCAGAGGATTTACCCCCCTTAATGACCAGGCCTCTTTTTGCTACTCCGCGCTGCACTAATTCAACTGATAATTGCGCGGTCATGCAGTGCTGCACCCAAACAAAATTTTCGTCCTTTTTTTCACACAAATAGAACTTTCTTTCGGTGGTATTTGATCACCTGTGCGCTTTTTATTTTTCACGCTATAAACAAAAAAAGGCCAAAAATTTTGAAGAAAAACAATATTTTTACTATCAGCTATAAAAAATATATAGTAAACTCAGTAAAGTTAGTTAGAAATTTAGACCAAAATGTATTCTGCTCCATGTTTTTGGTAAAAAAAATCCCAATAAGTGTATATTGATTGCTTTGTGTGAAAGTTATAGCGTCTACAAACTATGGTATAGATACTGCAATTTACGTCATTTTTTTGCTATACAGCGCTGTGCTAGTTTAACGGACAATTGCGCGGTCATGCAATACGGTACATATATGAAATTTACATCCTTTTTTTCCCCACAAATTGAGCTTTCGTTTGGTGGTATTTGATCGCCTGTGTGGTTTTTATTTTTTGCGCTATAAAAAAAAAAGTCTGACAATTTTGAGGAAAAAAAAACTATATTTTGGACTTTTTGCTATAAAACATATCCAGTAAAAAAAAATGTAAAAATCAAATTTAGTCATAAATTTCTGCCAAAATGCATTCTGCGACATGTCTTTGCTAAAAAAAAAAACGAATACGTGTAAATTAATTGTTTTACGTGAAAGTTATAGCGTTTACAAATGGCGGGAAAGATACTGGGATTTTAATTTTTTTTAATACTAATAATGGCGGCGATCAGTGACTTATGGCGGCGATCAGCGACTTATGGCGGGACTGCGGCGGACATTCTGACATTGGGGGGTTCTGACTTGGCATCACTGACATCCCCAGTGACAC